TATATATATATATATTGAAGGAAGTTAGCCGTTAACACTGCTGAATAAATATAATATAAATCATCAAAGGTACATATACAGTGTTAAATAAGGACATGATGGAACATCGTAGGCTACCCTGTAGCTCTTTAACAAATAAAGTCCTATAAAACTCATTGTGTAATATAATGCCTCCGACGGGATTCGAACCTGCGACCTCTCGCTGACAAGGCGAGCGTCATAACAACTAGACCACGAAGGTTTCATGGTTGAACAGGTCCAAATAACCGTCGGGAACATTGTATTACACAATGGTGCGCCTCAAGAGGGCGTTCGGCCAGATACATTATCTGGAGAAACGGCTAGAAATAAATACTGTCGTATATTGTATATGATATTGAAGGAAGTTAGCCGTTAACACTGCTGAATAAATATAATATAAATCATCAAAGGTACATATACAGTGTTAAATAAGGACATGATGGAACATCGTAGGCTACCCAGTAGCTTTTCAACGAATAAAGTCCTATAAAACTCATTGTGTAATAAAATGCCTCCGACGGGATTCGAACCTGCGACCTCTCGCTGACAAGGCGACCGTCATAGCCACTAGACCTGTTCAACCATGAAGCCTTCGTGGTCTAGTGGTTATGACGCTTATACGTACATTGTAATAATGTTATGTTGTTTCCCATTACAAGTATGATCTCACTTGCACTCTACCGGTTTTACAATGTCGACTGTTAATTATTCTCTGAATATAGGACTAAATTAAAAAATATCAGAAAACATCTCCAGTTAACAAAATAAGATTCGGTGCGGCGAAGCAGTGGTTAAATTAAAGTTAAAATTTATATACGCTTCGAACGTGATGATGCCATTCATTCTGTTATTGAAATGGAATGCTGCATTTCTGAAGTTCATTGTTGCTTGCAAGTTAATGCTTTCACTTAATGCTAAAAAAACCCCACAAAACATGTTCATTTATCCTAAGCATAAGCTTCATATCCTCACTACATATGATCCTACCACTGGCAACTATAATCTCACCATCCTCCAGAGTCTGTAACCTTAGCGTAGTATTTGATTTGATTTGATTTGATTTGATTTCGACCTCATGTAATCATACATCAACAACATCTCTAAATCAGTTTTATTCGCTATCCGTATTCTCAGACAGATCAGACATTTTCTTGATAAAGCAGCCACAGAGAAACTTGTTCATGCTCTGATTACTTCTAAACTCCTAGTTGGTTTGCTTTGTGCCCTTCTATCAAAGATTACGAATGCAACTTAACTCTGCTGCTCGACTTGTGACTAGTATTCCCAAATTTGAACACAGTCCCACAAGAAAATGCACTGGCTTTCAATCAATGAGCGAATTAAGTCCAAAGTGCTTCTTTTCATATTTAGGTCATTGCACCATTTTGCTCCTTATTACATCTAGGAACTGATCACACTCCGTTCAGCTAAATGTAAAAGGGCATTAAGGGCAGCATGTGCCTACTTGCTATTTGAAGACTTATGGACAGAGATCCTACTCAGTTGTTGCACCCAATCTCTGGAATTCTCTACAAAAACCTGTTCAAGAGTCTACTAATTTGATGATCTTGAAGAGCCGTCTTTAATAATTCTTATTATTTTGACAATCTCTAATTTTCATCCACTCTTTTGATTTGTTTTTCTTTTCATTTTCCTTTATTTGTGTTGTTTTTATTTTCTACATGAAAAGCACATATAGACGAATGTTATATGCGTTATAAAAGTGCACAACCGTTGACCAAATAAGTAAATAAGAATCAAGACATATATTTACAGTTTCATAGTATTTATTCACATTTTACAATCTCAGTCAATACCAATATATATCTGCAAATTTTAAACAAACTTAAAAAACATATTAATTATATTACATTGTTACATTAGTACATTATGTTTTAAGATATTTCTTGAGGGTTTGTATGGTGAGTATCAGTAACAAAATCATTGAACTTTCGGTAAACCATATGTAATAATGGTTTTTGAGGTAAAACTACTGGTTAGTTGTGTCTTGAGTCAACCAACCTGTGGTTTTTACCTCAAACAGTCAACCAGTGGTTTTACCTCAAAACCCATAATTTTTACAGATGGTGTACCGAGAGTTTAATAATTTTGGTACAGTGTGATTATTAGTAAATTATCAACATCTCTGTCACGAAAATTGAAGTATCAATATAGCAATTGGCCTATTATTTTTATTTTCCGTTCCGAAAATAACAATAACAACACGTTATCATTAGGTATGGCGGTCAGGCGTAACAATGGTTATTCAAAGTATGTAAACCATGAAATAAATTGATTACAACAATGGTAAAACATTGTCCAATATAACAGAATTACAAAATATGGTACACAATATCATGATAAAGGGAATTCTCATACGGCACCGAGTTTGATTACGTTAAAAAAAAAGTAGAAATTTTGTTTACATATTATATCACATAGACTTATTTTATGTACATTTTTTTTTTTTTTTTTTTTATTGAAACTGCTACTCTATAACTGTAACGCTTTATTCGTGAAACTACTTTCCATTTCTGTTTGACAACTGAAATTCTCTTTTTCTACATCAGATTTGTTTTTCATTTTATGGATTGGTTTTTTCCTGCAAAATAAAAAATAAACGACATATATTTTTAGTATAGATTTTTGTTTTGGAAACGACTTTACTTGATACAAACTGTTGCCGCTTTGATACAAACAATTTCCATATGCGAGCAAGTGATGATAAAGATTAAACACAAAATCAAAAGTAATTAAATAATTTAAAAAGCATATACAATTTAAAAAAAAAAGATTTTTATTAGATTGGAGTGAGCTGTCTCTAGTGTTAGATACTAAACTTTTTTTTTGTAGAAAGTGTAGGCATACTGCGTTTTTTTACGTTCATTGATCTGATTGTACACAAGACCAGGCCGGACGATGGAAATCTTAATTCAGCATTCTAGCTGAAACACAAGGCAGTCATGAAATTTAACCGGAGACCAATGATATAGAAGTAAGAACCTTTTTCAGAGCGCTGGTAGTAGTTACTATAAGTTAACCAACTGATGTAATATTTCTAAGACGATAAAGTACAGTAGGTACACAAAAGAGCTAGTTTAACTCTCTTCGAGACACCTTAATAGTTTATCTATAAGTTAATATTATTATAATGGTACAAGAATGTTGAAAAATCAACAATATTCTTGTACAAAGTATTAAAAAAGAAAATTAAAATGCTAAGACTATAATTGTAGTGTATACATACTTTCCAAAATTTTCTCCATCTTCTATGGTCTCCGGTAGGTTTTTGTTGAGGGTTTCGGGAAGTAGTAATGCCAGGAATCCGGCAGATACTGACATTATGCTGAATATTGTCTGTGGTAAAGGCGGCCAAATCTTGCCAAGCTCAAGGATAATGGGTGCAATTATGCCTCCAACGCGAGCCGTCATGGAGGATATACCCATACCAACACTCCTGTACATTGAATAAACGCAAACTTTTATTATATAAAAATTTATGATATTGAAGATAACATTAAAGATGATGATGATGATGATGATGATGATGATGATGATGATGATGATGATGATGATGATGATGATGATGATAATAATGATGTTAAATTTTAGGATTATGATGTTAATGATGATGATGATGATGAAGTTGAAGAAGCCAGATGAAGATAATGATGATGATGATGAGGATAATAATATTGAAATCAAAATTATGACAATGGTAATAATTATTCTGATGGTTGATTGTGAATGATGATGATAGTAGTTATGATACTAATATGTATAATGACGATAGCATTGTCATGATTATGATAAAAATAATAGGAAAAAACAGGACTGTTATAGACGAATACGATCATTGCCAGTAACAACTACAAAAATAAATCACTACGTATAGCTAAGTAGGTCTGGAATGTAGTTATATCTCACAATCTTATAAAAATAATTTAAGTTAATTATCATAACATTGAGATTAACATTAAACTAAAAGCCTGAATAACGCACCGTACTGGAGTTGGATAAAGTTCGGCAGAAAACACATAGATAATGCCAAACGAGCCAGCAATGCCAAATTTACCGATCAACGCCACAAACGTCCTACCCCAACCAAGAGCTGTAGTGATTAAAAAATGTAAAGAATAAGTGTGTAAGTTAGTAAATTTAGTTAACAATTGAAGGGACTCTTTAAAGTTAACAACCAACGTTTGAGCTCTGAATTTTTTTATTATATCCCAAACATTAGTCCACAGCCCCTTTTGATTATCTGTGACAGGACCATCATGAGTCCTTTACTCGTCATGTAACTGCTGCGGAGGCGATTAATCATAATAATAATTTAAAAAAAAAAACATATTGTGTATTTATATTAGGCCTAATTAACCTTGTAGGTTGTATGTTGTTTGTTGTTTAAGTGAGAAGGCCCTGCTTTAGAAAGGGAGGGTGGTTTATGTCAGAACATGCCTACTGCCCTCTTGCTACCGGATGCAACCTGCATTGTGTCAGAAGTAAATTTGTTTTTAACTCTTTACTTTGACAGTTTGTCTGCTAAGATTTTTCCAGTTCTGGGCGTTTGTTGGTTTTAAGTTTCTCTATGTTACCTGCGCTAAGGTAAATGTTTTTTTTTTTTTTTCAATAATTACATTTTCGTTTTGTTTTAACGAAGGCTTATAATACAGAATTAAAATCGTCAATTACTGCCAGTTACATGTTTGTTGTAAATTTTTGTGTGTTTTTGGCGAGCATGGTGACTGATATAAACATATTCTAATAATGAATTAAAACTTACGGATCCAAACTGTTGCAAAACAGGCAATGCCACCCATTACCATAAATAGACAAAGTACAGGGCGGCGACCGAACTTATCTATTGCAGGTATAGCTACTATGAATGCAGGTATTTCAACAACACCAGAAAGAATAAATGCAAGGTAATCTCTGCCCCCAAGACTAGCTGTGCTCAACGAGAGTCCATAATACACAAGACTATTCACCATCCTATGAATAAGCAAAAAGGTTTTTTTTTATCAAAATATCATATAACATAATATTATAGTAATTAAAAAAAAAATAAACCAATTTAGACCCTATACTTTTGTTTCAATAGAGCTTCTTTTTTTTTTCTTTTTTTTTTTTACAACAGAAATGTTCCACGTGTATCCAGGATGCCTGTGAGGACGTCAGAATGTTGTGTCAGATATTTTGTATTGCATTATGGCAGGTTATACGATATATACTTATAAACAAATAAAATATTATATGGCTTTGTCTTATTATTATATTATTATATAGTACATTAATATTAAATTAAAAATTATTATTATGATTGTAGTAACGTGCGGCACAGTACTGAGGTGCTATAGGGCAGTGAATATAGTACAATATAGCATTGTAAGGACTCAATTTAGTTTAGATGACATACAGTATTATAGGCTGTAAGCCTGTGTCACTTAAATCTCAGCTATAAGGACAGACGCGTACTTCACTGCAAATCTACTTTTTCTCTGAGTTCCACAAATTAGATTCATTATTAATTACCAGTTATAAAGTATATTTATTGTTTTCTTCCTCAAATTCGGAGTTTTGAATAGGTCCGCCACGGTGTATGTGGTCCCCTTGCTTGGGTCTACCTGGAAAGATGGAAATGCAAAGGATAGTTTATAGCTGCATAGGCCTGTTATTTTTATTATTTTGGTTTGTCTTCATGTATGTCATGTGTTTGAAATAGTGTATAATTTAGTATTCATGACTGCTTGATCGATAATTTATTGATTGCTGGATCGATCAATTGTTGATTGTTTATCTGTCAATCAACCATTCACTCAATCTCGATTACTACGTTTCATCTCTCTTTAAATATATCCGTCACTGAACACTAAACATCGTATGTGTATTATATAGGCTTATTGTACTTTGATTGATTGATTGATTGATTGAATGACTGCTGATTAGTTGATAAATTTTGATTGCTTTCTTGGAACTGTGGGTATTGATAGAATGCTCAATTACAGTCAAATAAGTTCAAAACATTACCATCATTTCTTCTTCAAACAATTTTTCTGGAAGACTTTCTGCCTTATTGACCCTGGCGCATTCCTTGATAAGGTCTTCTGCTTCATCAAATTTTTTCTGTGACATCAACCATCGGACAGACTCGGGAACAATACTGAACATTTTATTAGGAAAAACATTTTAATGTATAAATATATTTCCACCATTAAAGATTGTAAATACCTATTGCATTGATGATCCATTAGTTTGATTAATCAATACTGTAATAGGCCTATTAACACAACATAACAATAATAACAGTATTTTTAACAATACTGACAATAATAAGAATCATAAAATAAAAAAACATAGTGAATATAATAAATTAAAATATAGACCTGCTATATTTTATACTTGTATTTTATAAACAATAATTTTAATATTAGTAAATACAAAGCAAACACAACATGTATAAAAATACTAAACAATTAAAATATATTAAACATAATAAAAAATAATACGATGTTGTTAGTTAATGTATAATTTTCGATAATATTAATATTTTTATATTAATAACAGAATAATGGTTATTATTGAATATTTGTAAAAAGGCGAACAATAGGTTTAATATCACTTAATAGTTATAGGCATATCTTTTTTACAGCAATAGCAACTACAATAGTACCTACGGGATTATAAAGAAGAAAAACATATTTGGTAGTGTTATTGCAAGTTGTAAATATCTCCAGTCTCTGATGAGATATGCAAGAAGACCGTAAATGATGAGACCTGCTGACGTGTAGAAATTTATCACCATTCCCACAAACGTGCGCTTTGAAGGCCCTACAAGCTCAGTTGCTGCAGAAATAGAACAAAAAAAAAAACCAATAATGATTAGATATTAGACAATATCGAAGGTTATTCAATACACACGTGGTGGTTAAGAACAATTATATGAAAATATGTTCGCATAAATACGTATATGCAAACTTTTCCATTCATTAAGTAGGTTTTAGCCGTGATTAAGCATCATTGGTACACAAACATATACAGTGTACACTTTTAAGAAACTAACGTAAAAGTGGCTTGCTACAGGAAACATTAGGGAGATTTCGCAACATTACGAAAACGATAGCGAATACGAATATGTCATCATTTTCGTCATTCGTGCCTAAAACATTGTTGACGTTGTACGAGCGGACTATGGTCCTTGATTCATGCAAAAGGCATGTATAGCCTACGTTGTGACAAAATAGGCTATTGAAGGGTAAGGGTTGTCTACATATTATGAGGAAACCATACTCATTATCGTTTTCGTAAGCTTGCGAAAACTCCATAATGTTAAGCCGGGAACACCTTGTGACAAGGCGACGCGACGTGCAGACGCGCAACGAATCTTTAGTAACGACGATCCTTTCAGTCGACAAACAGCAGACGATGTCGCGCGCTCACAGAGAGCGGAAATAGAGCGAAGTGCGTTTTTTCTCGGCCTTACATGCATCAGACTCACGAAGTTCCAAACTTACCGATAGTGAATGCTGCAAGATAGGTTCCAATGTTAGCAAAACCAACAATGAACCTGAACATAGTAAACCACCAGTACCCGGGTGAAAACGCTACTGCTATACCGAACACAAAGGCAATAAACAGGCAAAGGAACATTGTTTTCTTACGACCTATACTGAAAAAAATGAAAATATGAACCATTATAAATTTATATATATATATATATATG